GATAACTGGATTAATGAGATTTATCATTATAGTTGTTACGATGTCGCCATGATAGCTTAATTAATAAGATTTATCATGGTAGTTGTTATGATATCGCCATTATAGCTGGATTAATAAGATTTAACGTGATAGTCGTTATGATATTGTCATTATAACTGGATTATTAAGATTTATCATGACAGTTGCTACGAAATATCGTCATGAGAGCTGGATTAATAAGATTTATCATGATAGTCGTTATGATATTGCAATCACAGCTGGATTAATAGGAATTATCATGGTAGTTGTTATGATATCGCCATTATAGCTGGATTAATAAGATTTATCGTGATAGTCGTTATGATATTGTCATGATAAATGAATTAATAGGATTTATCATTATAGTCATTATGATAGTGTCATAATAGCTGGATTGATAAGAATTATCATGATAGTCTTTATGATATCGATATGATATCTTGATTAATAAGATTTATCGTGATAGTCGTTATGATAATTCATGATAGCTGGATAGAATAATAACCGAATAGTAGTTTAGAAAACACATATTATACCTCTGGAGAAAGGTCATTTTATTGAAAAACGAAAGAAAGAAATCAACCCATCGTCTGGTTTGCTATCTTTGCTCTACATCATATGTAATAATCGCTCCTTTATTGCCACTCAGTTCAAAGTGCTCGTCATCGAACGTTGGTGTTATCTCTATTGACAGATGTGTAGATGAGGCCACGTGCCTATCTAGACTTGTACCTTGTCGACACTACGCAAATTATGTCTTTTGTGACAACGGTTGCTTTTACTGGTGAACACGTGATTTCTAGGGTAACACAGTATTCATACACTCTGTATGAAACTACTAGGAATGTATGTGTCCTCGATCTCATGGTGCACGTGCTGTTCTCTACCAGTGGTGCCATAAACTACAAGCATAGTTTTGAAATAATGTTCATACTAGTTCTGAATCACTGACCCAATACATTTACATGACCTTATTTAAGTATTACGTATTGCCACACACGAATACTGGCAAACAGAAATACTTTAATAAAACAATTGAATCAATAGCTAGTTAATATGTCAACTAATATTTCCAGCGTAATTGTGCTATGTGTTGGGGAATATATCATGACATCTTATTGATTTATGCCAATAACTTGTCAAAAGAACATGATACGCGGCATTAAACAGGAAATAACTAGTTTGCCATGTTTGCTTTCACTGTTTGCCTTACTGGAAAGAAAACCGAGATTTTGTAGCTCAGCTACGCCCTTTGAGATATTCGACCTGCTGTTGCGCAATTCGCCTTGTCTGCTATGATTGAGTGCCACACTTTATGTTATTAAGATTTATCCGGTATAATAATACAAATGTTCATTCCAACAGCGGTGAGCATGCAGTTTTAGAAACCCACGAAGCTCATTGTCGAACTGCGCAATCGCAAAATCGCTACACAATCCTAATTAAAATAGTCAAATAGTGAAAGCAAACCTGGCAACCTAATTAGTTCATCAATATTGCCGCGTATCGTATGCCATTACCAGTTATTGATATCAGATAAATTCGGGAAGAAGGTACCTGGGTGTAGGTAGACATAATGATACGTCAGTAGGTAGACACTGGAATATGTCTACCTATAATGCGCGAATCGATTGGCTGCCATGGTCATGACGTATAATATTTGTATATCACCAAAGATATTTTTACTTTACGTTGAACAAGGCCAGTTAGCGTATGTTATGTTCATTGAATTATGACTAAATACTAGTAACAAATTACTCAGCTTTTACATGGGGGTACTAACAATTATTCGAAACTCTAAAATGACCGGAAGCATCATAAATAATTTATCGCCGACGAGGGGATATATTATCTATATATAATCTATTAAATTTATATACGCACATCTTTAGATGAACCCAATGACATGGAATTTACTCTCTGAGAAGCAAGTTTCATTGAGGCATTTATCATACAAATTCGGTAATTAATACCCACGGAATTGAACCAAAAACTAATCAGGTCTGTACTTGTCCTCGGGCTGGCGGTCTATAACAAGTTCCATTGCAATTGAATGATTTGTTGTCGGTCGAAAGCTGAAAAATTGCACGTACATACGCACGCACGCAAAACGCACTCTCTCAGGCTGATCGAGCCTAATCTAAAGATTAAAGCTGTGAACAGTACCGCAGTGGTACATGATTTAACTGGTTCATACATGCTGAAAACTAAATTTCTTATTACTGAATTTTGTATTTCGGTTATACGTAATGTGTTCTAAGTAAGTACTCTATTTATATCATTCATAGGAAGTTCCAGTAGCTGTCACAAAAAACTAGTTGTCATGAGTGTACAACTGTCATATTCTTTTTTAATTGCAATAAATACTTAACTCGATGATGCAAGTAGTGGTGTGAAATGTATTATGGAATGATGTGTCAAAATTTAACTGAACTTTTTTGCTGACCAAATAGGTTTACTTTATTTGCATGTGAATGTTTGGGTAGAGTGCGAAAAGTCACTGATACTGCCATTGCATTGATTTTGCAGTGGCTCGGGGACATGTAATGTTGCTATTTACTGCTTTTGTTTTTATATTATATTATATTACATTGGCATTTGAAATAAAGGAAAGACTAACTACAAGGACAAGTATTTCAAGAGAAAAATTACAACCCATGACCTTCAGTATGCCAGACAATATGTGACCACTAGACCACACAGTCTAGTCTACTCTACTGTCACTTCGGGATTGTCTTCCAAAACGTTCAGATGAATACGACTTGATATTTCCCTATTACTTTATTAGAAGCGACTCTCCAAGATGGACCAGCTCCCATACATTCTAAAACGTCATAATGTCTACGCCCTCCCCTCGAAAAGGGTTAAAAATAGCCACTTTGGGTTTAACTAAAACCCAAACTAGCTGAAGAACAATAACCACGTGACAATGGTTTATCGTATTGGTAAGCACGTGACATCTAACCTAACATGTGTATGAAAGAATTAGAAATGTATGTGCACTCGACTTAATGAATTACATACGTGTTGTTATCTGGATATAAGTGTTAGTCTGTCAGCAAGCAAGCATGCATGCATAGTTCAGTACTAAGGTTTCCACCAGCCCTGACTGACTGACCCGAGCATGGATGTTTATATTTAATCTTATTTATTCCACATGATCACACACATACTCACACAAACA